TTGGAATCCTTTTTTGTCACTGGAGATTTATAAGTAATTCATAGTTCATGTTCTAGTTTTGTATTAATGGAATCCATTACACTAAAGTCAGAATACAATAGAGTGACTGATTTAGGCAGTGCTCTATTGCTGGTAGTAAAACTAATAGAATTTACAAGTCAAAAGAGGTAATTATCTCTTTATGCAAATCACTAGTTAGGCATCACTTGGAATATTGTGGTGTGCAGTTTTGATCCCCTTGTCTAAACAAAGATATTGATTTATTGGAGAGGGTATAGAGAAGGGCTGCTAGGATGATTCTGGGATAAAAAGGTTATTTTATGGATAGGTTAAGATATCTTAACCTATTTTAATTTTGGAAAAAAAAAGGATAATTATCTGTGATATAGACAGCATAAAGGGGTTTGGTGTCAATCAAATGGGAGAAAACAAGTTTAAGATTTGGAAAAGATAGGTTACAGACTTTAATTAAGATAGTTTTCATTTTGTAACAGGGTGATTAGCTTATGGAATAATTTGCTATTGGTATCAGTAGAGGTTGACACCTTACAAGGCTTTACAGAAAAATAAAGGTTGGATTTAAATTAATGGATTTCTAGTATGGTCCCAATTTCTTGTTTACAGTAAGGTCTAGTTCCACATAAACATTGAACCATCTTGCATCTGTCCTTGTCCCACAAACACACGTAGATAGGTGTATATACAAATATACATAGATTTTTTTAATTGTCAGCTATCTTTTTCTTTCTTACTTAAGAGATATTAAAATACATTCTTTGCCTTTAGAGTGTATTATAGAATGATTTGGAGGTCCACTTAGAATGAACTGATGGTCTGCATTTGGACCATGAATCACCTATTGACTACCCTGAGTGTACGGAGATAGCCTGGAAGGACAAAATGGTCTTTTCATATCTACAATGTTATATGTGTAATGACTCTCAAATCTTGATTAGGTACTTTAAAGCAAAATAATTATACTTTATCTACATAGAATAATATGATTAGAGTGAACGGTATATATTTTAGAAGCTGTTCTTTATTAAATATACCATACTTTTTGTAGTAATCTACTATTGGTCCACTGTCAGATGGCATTCTGACGGTGATAATAAGAGCAAGGACTTGAATTTTGATCATGCACCTATTGATTGTAATGGAGCGATGTATGCAACACCAAACTCTATGCATTACAAGTATCCCAACACGACTTACAAATTAGCATGACTTGTATGTTGAGAATTTTATTAAATTAGTTTTGTATACGAAAGTAGATTTAAATGGTAAAAAATAAAATAAAACTTTAAATGTAATTAAAGAGGATCTAGGAGATTTTGCTAGATCTTGCAAGTTTCTCTTATTTAAACAAGTTTTACATGTAGGAGAAATTGTTCTTTATACTAAGATAATTGTTTCTGTTTGTGATACATAAAACAAAGGACTTGTATTTTGAAGTCTTCATGTAAATAGACATAGATAAGTGTATGAATGTTTGAACAAGCTATACCATAATAAAACTTAGATTTTAACTTCAAATAATACTTACGAAAAAAAATATCTGTTACGTGCACATCTGTCTAATGACAATAGTGAAAGCTTTTGGATATTTATATTGTTGTATTATTTTACTTGTTTGAAAAACACCAAACTAATAATTGAAAATACGTATGTACTCGTATATTAGTATATATATTCCATATGTTTTCTTAGGACATTCTCCATTACATAGTCACGAGTTTGAAGAGTTAGTGGACAACAAAACAGATGAAACAGATGTGTCGGATCACCACCAGCCATCATGGGTTGTAGGTGGTAGAGTGAGTTAAATTTTTTTTTTTTTTTTACATAACTGTAAATATATGAACTGTAACAGTTTTACCTTTGTATGTAGAAATAGTCACTGGTAAAAAAGAACCTTTACTCTAGTGTAGCTTATTGGATTTTGTTTCAGATAACTGATTGTAGGTGAATAAAGTATGTTATAATGATCAAACTTATCTTCAAATATTTGGCATACTGGAGATTATTTGCACTTTCCATGAACTGTCTTTGTCTTCTTCATTTACATCATGTGCGGTATTTGTTAATGTGTGAGAGAAACTTAAGCAAAAATAGAATGTTTTTGAAAATTGTAGGAACAATTAATCCAGATTGTTTCAGTGTTAATTAGTGATACTTGTTGTAATGGTCAATTTGGAGTGGTATCTGCTCGAGACTTGAATACTGGTAGCATTTCATAAGTCTCGCAGAAGGCTTAATTAGTGCTTATAGACCAAAGTCATCATTTGTAATGATCATAAAGAACCATGTGCCTTAAGTGGGGCTTGAACCCAAGTCTTATGGCTTACACTAGTGTTCTGGGACCAATGTGCTCTCCAACTTAGATCCCAGGGCTCAAGTCCCAAGCAAATACCCCTTCCCCTCATTTTGTACAAAAGCTGATATGGTTATTTGACAAGTAGCTTATACTTATTTCTGAAACAACAGTAATTTATTCTAGCTTTTCAACGTTTGTAAATGCTTTGACAAGAAAAGCAACTCGGTTGTTTCTAAAGTTGACTTTGACAAAAGAAGTAACTCCATAGCCTATATCCATCCTTATCATTAACTTAACATTGAAGGATAGCAAGGGGCCTGTTGGTCTATCAGTGTTGTTCCATTCACTTCAAAAACTAAATCCAACCCTGATAATCTAATTATTTATTGAGCCTTCCCTTAAATTTACTGCAGTTACTATATCCAAAGGTCATTCCAAAAGCCAACCACCCTTTTAGGAAAGTAAAACTATCCAAGTAGAAGATGACTCCTTCCTGCCAAGACTCATATTTGTGGCTCCTTGCCCTACTATTCTCATCATTAAGTATGAAAAAAGATGATGCATCATTACTATCAGTTCTCTTAATAATCTTAATCAGATACTCTCTAACTCTTATATGACAACCATTTCAGTTATTATTGTAATAACCTTTCTCTGAATATTTTCCAACAGTTTCACATCTTTCTTAAAGTAAGGATCCCAACTGAACAGAATACTTTAAATGGGGCTGACCCAGTAACCAATACAATGAAATGATAATCTCTTTAGACTTGTATTAATATTTCTGTAAACACAACCCAAAATTGTATTTGCCCTACCACTACCAACAGTACAGTGTTTGGATGGGTTGAGAGACCGATAAAATAAAACATCAAGATTTTTGTTCTTCCATTGCACTGTTAAGGCTATTCCCATCAAAATTATACATATAATTTATATTATGATATCCCACATGCATTATCTTGCATTTATTATAATTAAAAGCCACCTGCCAGTTATTTGCCCAACTCCCAAAATGAGCTAAATTCGTTTGTAAAGCAGGAGCCAGCAAAACCCAAAACCTTAATATCACCTGCAACTTTAAGCTATTTATTGACCATTACTTATCTATGTCGTTTATGTAAACCACAAAGAGCAAAGCTCCTAACAGTGAGTCCTGGGGTTCCCTGTGTGACATAAATTCTATTTGACTAAACTCCATTTATAGCAACCTTTTGCTTTCTTCGAACCAGTCATTTTTCAACTCATTGAGTCAACTTATCCCCCCCATCCCTATAGAGATCAATTTTTTAACAAGCATTTGATGTGACACCTTCTTAAATACTTTCTGAAAATCCACACTATTACCTTAATTTACATAAGCAGTAACCTCTTAAAAGTATGTCAAATGATCAGTAAAGCAAGATTTTTCTTCTATTTAAACAGTGTTGATCATCCTACAGAATTTCAAACTGTTAAATGACTTTAAAAATTAGTTATAACCCACTAATTTTAGTCATTCTACTTGTCTAACTGCTAAAGTATATATAATGCCTCAGGTTAAACCTGTGAACAAACCTTTGAAAATTTGTAACTGCCACGGGTACATGTAAATTGTGCATTCTTTATATTTCCCTATACTGCAGTCATATTATATAAGTGTATTACAATAATAAATTTTATTCTTAAAACCCATTGTTAAATACTTATTTTGAACATAACCATATTTGAAGATTATTTTCAAAATCAGATTTTGTCAAGCAATGAGAAATTTGCAAAAAAAAGCTTTGTTTATAAAAGAACCACAGAAACCCTGTAAAGTTTACTGACCTCAAGCACAATGCTTCAAATATTTTATAAATATGCAAGTAAATTATTTTTTGTTTCTTACTGACATGATAGCTATTATTAAGTTGCTTGTCGAGTCATAGGTAATTATACGTGCAGCTTAAAATTGTAAAATCTTCTAATATTTAGTTGAGCTTAAGTTTTATATATATTAACTGTAGCAGGCTGAATGACTTTCTATAGCCTAAATGTTTAGAAATCAATAATCTTGAACAATAGGGGGCCATCTTGCAGTCCCTTGGGCTACATTTGTCTTGTGAGATCATTATGTATCACATACTGTGCATGAAAAACATTTTAATAGGAACATCTCATTCCAGTAAAACATAGAAATAATCATTTCTGGCCCTCTGGTGTTTCTGTTCTATATAGTTCAGCCCTCCATAGGTAAGGGGTAATTGGACCATTCTGCTTTTGAAGTTAGCTTCACTCACTGTAGCTTAATGGGAGTTTTGTTGAACAGTATAGTTTTTTTCCCTCAAAAAATGACATTTGTCTTGTTAAAATATTGACAAAAAGTTATTATTCACATATACCAGACTGTTTATTTCATATATTTCACAATTTAAAAAAAGAGGTATATTTATAGTAGTACTTGGGTCACATAATGTTTCAACCCTTGTTCTTTTGAAGTTAATTACTTAGAAATTTGTAGTTGATTTATAAGCATTGTTTCTAGTCATTTTAATGCTGATATGTAAACTTTTACCTGTATACCTGACACAAAAATTAAACTTTATTAATAAGTGTATTTTTTGTTGCTTAAATTGTCTAAATGAAAGTTGTTTTGAAAAATAGTACAGACAGTGAACATATATTTAAATCTTAATTTTAAAGTAAAATGTATTTTCTGGTGATGATTTTATTTCAGTGTTTGACAACATCTGAACTTTTGAGTACTTTTGATCTCCAACCTGAAGAGAAAATAACACCTGCCGATTTTCTTAACTTCTGTCCTGCCATCATTTATGAGCTTAATCAAGAACATTGCAAAAAATTACCTATTTATAATTCACATGTACCAGTGCATCATGATCATGAAAAAGAAGATGTGGAGACAATTCATAATCATCTTTCTTCATCTGGTAAGTGGGCCTAAAATACAATAAATGATAAAAAAGATGTCTTTTGATGATTATAAACCTTTGGGTTTTGTAATGGTCAGGATGAATAGTTGCATAATGGGAACTGAGCCCACTTAGCTCTGTTGGTAAGACCATTAGTGTGAGTTAGGAGTCTTTGGTTCAATCTCCAGTCAGAACAGATTTTTTAACACCCTGATACATGGAATTGGTTATGTATCTGAATTATTACTTCTGGCTTGGAATTTCCTTGTTGCATGTGTTGCTGACTTATGATGCTGGACTGTGTTATGTGTGGGCTCAAGGATGAGCCTTGTTTTGGTGGAAAGATGTAATCGTCAGAATAGAGGGTGTGCATCAGAGTTTAGCCCTATTAACTCATTTGGAATAAACTGTAAGGTAAGGATTCTGGGTTCAAGCTTAGGTTATAGCAAATTTATTAATTTCCTGATACATTGTAACTTACATTAGCAAAACTGGTATCCTGTGCAAGTGATGAAAGTGGATTCTATATTGTCACATAGTCATGCCACATAAGTGATTCTAGTTGAACAGTATCAATGAAACTTTTTCAAGAGCAGTCATTTAAATTTTCACTCTGAAATATGAATGATCCATGTTCATTATTAAGAAAAAATAAATAAATTACATATTAGCAAAAAAACTAACTTAAGTGATAATACATCCACTGTCCACTTCTAATCATTTATCAATCAAAAGAGTAGAAACATAATGGACTATCTTGACATTTCCAAGTCATGAGGCTATTTGTTTGTATTATAATTTGGTGGTGCACAAATGGTTGGTTGTCTTGGTGTATTAACCATTGCAGAAGCATTTAACAATTGATTTCTTGGTATAATGAGCAGAGATCTTTATAGCTAACTTTTACTACTAAAATATCAGATAGGTTTTTTATAATTCAAAATATATGTAGATTACCATGGAGTCCTCCCCTGTTTTGCTTTATTATGAAGTTTTCCATCTTAGAAGTGGGTGTGGTCCCTTAACTTTAATTTGGTGTAGTTAGCATAGTTCATTATTGCTGGTTTACACTAGTGTGTTTATATTGAAGTCAACACTGTAGAATAACGTGTCTTTATTGAAGTCAACACTGTAGAATAACGTGTCTTTATTGAAGTCAACACTGTAGACTACCATGTTTACAAAGAATATCTTGTAAAATATCCACCATTTAATTTTCATCAATTTTTCTGATATATTTGAATAAATAAAGTTTTATGAGCAAGTGGAATAGCTTCAGGTTTTGAAGAGATAAATCTGAGGTTTCTCATCTCTCTTGTCATAACAGTAATTGCTTTTCTTTAACTATTTATATTATTTTGAAGTTTATAATTTTTCTGTTTTAAAAACCTAGAGTACCACATGTGATTAAACAACTTAGTAATTTTTTCAGTTCCTCAGCATTCTCCAACACTTAATGCTTATTAATTAAATAGTTATAACTACAGAAGCATAAATATGATGGCAGGGAATCAAGAGCTTCAAAATGTTTCCCATAATGACTCAAATGAGCAGTATTGTTCTCAGGGTATTCTTGCACATTACACAGGTTGTCTGTTAATTGTTTTTTTCATAGCTACTCTTAGCTGCTCATGTTTCATAATATTTGGCTATTTTATGTCATAGTTTCAACTTTTTAACTTAAATCTGTTGTAGCATCTCATTTTAAACATTTTGTATATTCTTCAATATAGTTAAGTTCTTCCAGAATTCAGTAATTAAAAAAAACAAAAACAGAAATTTAGTTTTGTGCCAATGTGATGTTCTTAGCTATTTTTGAAATATTTCAACATCTTATATATATTTTTTTTCTAATGAATAAATATATCATTATAACCAAAATTACTGCTTAATAATTGAACAGAAAATTAGAATGGTATATTTTTTAACCATTCCCTCAACTAGCTTATATTCCCATAATGCCTTAAATGAATAATATTGTCCTGAATCTATTTCTTCACATTGCACAGTCTGTACATTGTTTTATCCTAGTTTGCCTCTGATGAAATCTCCCAGGTTATATGGTTTTGTATTTGTCTTTAATTACTTTTTGAATCTACATATTTTCCTATCGTCATAGCTTATATTCAAACATTTATTCATGGATTTTCTATGGATGAGGGTATATACAAGTTAAGCAATTTAAACTGAATTTGTAACAAAAAAAACGACTAATCAATTAACAGTTCTATACATAGCCTTATTTTGTAATGCATAAGAATATATTTTTTTATTTACTGTTGATACTGCATATATAAATATAACTAAGTTTGTATTTATTGCCTTTTTCCCTTTTTTTTAAGGGTAGAAAAGCAATATTTTTCTAAATTGTTTGCAATAAGTTAAAATAGAACTTATTTAAGTTAGTTAAAATATTTTTATCATTCACTGTATTAACCCATTGACTGCTGATTTCCCCATATAGGGTACGATCCACTTTTGGCTGTTGTGTGCGAGTGTGCATATACAGTGAACGGCTTGCAAAAATGCCATGTTCGTTTAGAGCAGCTGCAGTCAATGGGTTAAAAACACAGTAAACCTCTTAGAAGTGCTAATCTTTTGTAATTTTTTTTTTAAATTCTAGTTTGGGGTTATGCTTCTATTGCTGTAATAACTATTAGTTTATGTGGACTGTTAAGTGTAGCAGTTATTCCTGTCATGCACAAGTGGTTTTATCATGCATTGTTACAATTTCTGGTTGGCCTGGCTGTGGGGAGTTTGTCAGGAGATGCCCTTCTACATTTGCTACCTCATGTAAGTAAACATCGTTAATGGAAATGGACTAGTGTTTTCACACACAAATAATATTTTCTCCTTAAACAAGTACTCATAAAAATGTTTTTCTTCTTTAGGGTATCTAATAGGAATACTAAATTTGACTTATTAAAAATTTTTTATGAAATGCTTTATTTTTTTATTGTACTTTTTGACAAGAATTCATTAAAAGATATTTTTCTCAGTTTTATATTTACTAACATGCTTATAAAAAATCGTTTAATTTTCAGAAGTGATATATTTTTTGAACCAAAACATTTGTTGCACAATGATGTTATAAAAGAGTTTATTGAACCTTAATTTTCCAGGCAATGGCCGGAGATCATATTCACAGTCATGTAGAAGAGCATCATAAAAGTGAAGAATCCATTCTGATATGGCGAGGTTTGATCGCCCTGATTGGAATTTATATTTTATTCATTGCAGAAAAATTATTAAACATGTTTACTGGTTATTGCCAAAGAAAAAGGAGTTCCAAGGTATTGTTATCAATGGCTTATAACTCGTTTTACAGAATTTGTTAGCATTTAGTAATATTCCTTAATTGTTAAATATAAATAGGGCTGTGATTTAAATTTTTTTTTAATTAACTGCCTTACTGTTTCTTAATTTTACATGTTTTTGTAAGTTGTAAACAAAGAGTAGTTCAACAGCCCTGAGTTTTTGAAGTTTAGTAGGTGACTAATAAAATGTATTCTATAAAAATGCTTTAGAAAGTGAATTTATTATTGCAGCTTTTGTAATTTTTCTATGTACTTAAGCAGGGGTGAAATTCTTAATTTACATTTGGCTCATTATATGTTTCATTGCCCCCCCCCCCTTCCAATTAAGAAAGGCTTAAGCCAAGAGTAACGACCTGTATGAATATATATATTTCAGGTATGGAAAATTATGTCAACAATTTTTATTTCAGATGTACTTGAAATCACTTGAAGCACGTGCTTTCTTTTTCAGGGTGCTCAGTTGCCTAATTTGCTGGTTGTGTTTCGTAAAATAGACCGAGAACGCTGTCGAGCAGTTGGAGAAAAGTTGTCCCATCACAGACAGAGCTCTTACGATTACACTGCAGATCCAGCTGCTCTGAAGGATCTGGAGAGTATGAGTCTTCGTGTTTTTTCAAATGTGATGTATTGCATGTTATTGTGGTCAGATTCCTCTCGCCCAGTTGAACATGGCTTACTCATCCTCTTTTATTACCCCATTCAAGAGCTTAGTCCAAGGTAGTAAATCCACCAAAGAGTGCAGTGATTAGTTTCAGAAACTCTTATTATTTGACCTTATTTATTTATACACCACTTTAGTTGAACTTATTAAGGGTTTAATTTCCATATTATTGGGTTGTGCAACTGAGACTGCATTAAACAGTAAACAAAATTCTTTGCCACCAATACCCAGGAGAAGGCCTTAGTGATAGAGGTACTGTTAATTGCATCCTAGGATTACTTAATGGGGTCCATGAACCATACTGGTTCTTACACACCAATTACCTTCAGTATTGCTATTAATCTACATATTACTGCTGGTAGTCTGTTTATTGATGATAGGCTAAATCCATCATAAGCCTGATATACAAACAGTTTTATAGTTAGCATACTTCCTGATCTACATAATTATTTTTTTGCTGGGATTAGAATAGCTATTTTTTTAATGGAAAATTTTATTGATACAAGATCGAAGAGATATGTTTTGGCAAAATGGCTCGGGCTACCCATTCACAACATTGTGGTAAGACGTAAAAAGGCGAAGTGTTCCAAATATCGGACTGCTGTGAGACTGTTATTATATTTTTGTCACATATGCTGTAATAAATTGTATTATTTTAAGTATTGTAATACTGTGGAAAAACTCATTGCAATTAATTCAATAAATATAAATATGTAATCTGTAATAATTTATTCATTATATTAACTTTTAAAATTTGCTCTAGTGGAATTTCATTTTGGTACCAAGAAAACTTTACATTCATGATTGTATGATGTCTTAAAACATTTAGAATTGCAAACTTATCAAGAAGATGGAAAAGAGAAAGAAGATAAGAGTTGTTGTGAGCAACTTACTAGGAAAGATTCATTTAATCGCTGTGATGACAACTCTTTTACTGTTGACCCATGTGAAGCTATTCATGAAACCTCCAACTGTGATACATCAGGGGCCATAGAGAAGAAGAAAGTTGAGAAAAGAAATTCTCTCACGCCACTGGATGACAACTGTCATGTGATGATGGAGAAAAACATAATTCCTGCTGAAGAAGAATGTCACAGGGAAACATTGGTGTTTCGTCATGATTCCACTGACCACAGCTATGTGGTCACAATGACTGACCATCATCACCATCAGGGAATGCATGGACATAACCACGATATACCTTCCTCTGTATCAGCTGTTGCTTGGATGGTAATCATGGGTGATGGGCTTCACAACTTCTGTGATGGAATGGCAATTGGTAAGTTTAATGCATCTTTATCTTTCCATCAAGAGCTATGTGCTTCACATCTTCACTGATAGACTAGCCATCAATCATTTCAGGCCTATATACATGTATGCATTTATCAAGAATGACAGGTATCATGACCTTGGTGATGAACTGGCCATTTGTAAGTTTCAAGTTTGAATATATGATTATGTTGGCTGGTTGACTTCACATTTGATCTGAATTTAACGTGAAAAATTATTATCAATGATGATAGTATCCACAACTTTGTTAACAATCCAGCCAGTGAAGTTTTTAAAGTTTGGTTTTATGTTCCTCAAAGGATAATGAGGTTCATAGGTTAGATAAAACACTTGCTGTTTCTCAAAGTTTCAGGTTTATTATGAATAATGATTTATTGGACTTGTATGATCAATGGCAGTTGGATGATACCAGGTTTGAATATGTGCTCATTGTGGACTATGGAATGTATGTACAGTTTGTACATATGACTTTGCCATTTTCAGATTTATTTAATGGCTTTTATAATGATGGTTAACAAACTGTTGATATATTTCAGGTCTCTTTCATACATTGTTTAAGCAGGTCAGTCTTTAGCAAAAACTTTCATAATTTCTATAAAGCCCCCCAGTGGCACAGCGGTATGTCTGTGGACTTACAATGCTAGAAACTGGGTTTCGATACCCGTGGTGGGCAGAGCACAGGTAGCCCTTTGTGTAGCTTTGTTCTTAATTTTAAAACAAACAAACAAACAATCTCTAAAAAAATAATAATAAAATTGTGTTTAAGAAATTTTAAAGTTAAATTTATTACTTTCCAAAACAACTTTTTTTTCTTGTAATGAAGAGTTGCCTGTGTTGCTGCAAAACCAGTTAAGTAAAAAAGGTTGGTAAATAGAAAAAACATTTAGTGAAAAAGAAAGGATTCAAGTTTATTTACACACACATGTGTGTGTAACTAAACTGTCTAGAGAGAGAGAGACGGAGAGAGAAAGGAATGGAGATTTTTGAAGTACAATTGGTTTGACTGATGTTAAGATTTTTATTGCTTAAAATTGCAATGATTTTATGATTTCTTAATAGCTTTTGTAGTTTTGATGTGAATAATCAGTTTGCAGTTTTTGATGTTCTATAGATATTTTTTCCCTAGCAAAAGAAAATTTTGAAGGATTTTAATTATAATAAAAAAAGAAGGATATTAAGTGATCAGATTGGAACCACTGACTTCATTGAAATAATTAGGATTTTATCGGATAAAGATCAGATTAGGCTTAAGAAAATGCATATCCTTTAGATGTAGATTTAACACAAGTCTTCTAGATTTAGTATTTTTGTTTCAATAAGCAAAGATAAAGTACTGTATATAATTTTCTTTTTTGCCTTATTACACAAAAATATTTTAATTTTCTACATATTTTGTTTCAACTGTTCCAAAACATTTTTCGTGAATATATAGGTGCTGCATTTTCCTCTGGAATATCGAGTGGATTAAGTACAACAATTGCTGTTTTTTGTCATGAACTACCTCATGAACTGGGTGAGTCTTTTTTACTTTATGACACAGAATATAAACTAAAAATTCAATCAGTATTAGTATGAAATATTAATACAAACCAGTTGGTTTGGTTCATCTTTAAGGAACTGCTGGGATATTCAATTTATGTTATATTAGTACAAACCAGTTGGTTTGGGTCATCTTTAAGGAACTGCTG